TATTATTATTCATGGGTTCTAATCAGTTTTCATGGCAGTTTGTAGATAAAATTGCTGAGATCTGATCTGATTTGGATATAATGGTTAATACAGGTCTGGTAAATATAACATTGGGCTCTGCATTAAAATTCATACTTTTCAGTTTGCAGCTGTGAATGGAACTGGCCCCAAGATGGCGAGACCATCGTTTTTATTGTGATTATTTTAAAAAACAACAACCAGATCTCAACATAGTGGATAATTTCCAGCCATTCCATTTTAGTGTAAATGACTGCAGCTCCAGGGTTTCTGGATAAAACAGATTATCTAACTCAGCAGTGGGCATGGAGTAGCCCACAGGCTGCTGCACCCCCAACTATTTATGAAAGGCTTTTTTTTCTCCCAAACTGTCATGACTAGACAACTGGAGCTATCCTCTCCCATCTTTATTTTCAAAATGAGATGTGACTTTCCCAATTTTTAAGAGGCTGTCATAGTACCTTTGGAAGCACATTGGCAAGATGAGAGAGGGCTCCTCGCCAACATTTGGAACTTCCTGCCTGTGGAAAACAGGCTAGCTGGTGCAAGTGACTGACAGTTGGCAAAGTATTGACATGGTGGTGCCTCAGCACAGTTGACTATTGTGTTAAGACAAAATCATAGACTCATAGAAAACTGAAGTTGGAAGGGGGCTACAAGGCCATCAAGCCCAACCCTCTGCTCAGTGCAGGAATACAATGAAAGCATATCTGCCAGGTGATTATCTAAGTTTTTATTGAATGCCTCCAGTGTTGAAGCACTCACTAATTCCCAAGGTTCCACTGCAAAGCAAAATGAGGCATCACTTTGCAGCCTAATATGGAATGTTGCTTTAGTTAGAATATTTTTTTTAAAAAAATCATTACAGCCCAAATGGCTGTATAAGATCTTGCTGCCAAATATCCCCAGTAATACTTCAGCTGGTATTTTCTGTTGAAAGGCTTGTCATGTTTCACAAATGGCTCTAATTGAATGGCTAATTATACTTTTCCCCCTTCCCAGTTGTGTTGTGCAGACCGTCCTGAAGAAGGTGGCTTACCACAGTATGTGTTTGCTCTGATGGTTATTTTTTTCCTACAACAGAGGAAGGAACCTTTTCTGCCTGTTTATTTAGGATCGTGGGTATGTATGCACTGCATGAGTTTATTAAATATGTCTAAAAAGTTTTGAATTATTTTTTTCTTAAATAAATTCCATATACAATGCTGTTCTTATTGAAAGAAACAGGCCATGTTAAAAAGAGATGTTTCTTTAAATTATATCTTGATTAAGGATTAGGAATAAACTGTAAATGTAACTGTTGCTGTTGTTATCACCTCTACCCTCTCAAGTACATACTTATAATGCAGTACTGTCTGATCTGATCAAGCATAGTTTGATGTTAAGTCTGACCAGCAAACGGTAGTTTGAAATCCTGTTTCACCAGTTATAGCTTGTAACATTTGTGTTGTCATCTGTGGCCATTTTTAGGGCATTATAAGCTTCCTCTCCCTCTCCAAGTGGCAGGGATCTGTAAGGTTTCCTTTCAACCTGAGGAAGCCTTTGGGAGCCACAAAATTGAGAGGGGACACTGCAGATCCCAGTGGCAGCAATTTTCAGGCAATAAAGAATTCCTACCTCTGTTCTGTGGCTCCCAAAGGTTGAAGGGGGAATCTTAAGGATCCTCAGCTTGGGTGGAGGGGAAAATACCCCTGAAATAACCACAGCATCGCTGCAAATGTTGATGGTCACACAAACTACAAGTTGTAGCTCGCAAACAGGATTTCTGCCAACATAATTAAGCTGAGTGCCACAGTTAAGGAGCAAGAAATGAAAATATTGATATTTTTCTTGTCAGACGTGTGTGGCCAGAAAAAAACAGATTGCAGTTTACCACTGAAAGTTATAACAGTGGAATTACACCTGCATATTTATTTAATAGGATTGCATTTTTTCACTTCCCAAAAGGTTTGGAGAAAGGTCTTTATCAAAGGTCCCGAGGAGAACTGAGCAGGTCTTCTATGAATTGTTAAATGGCTCATCAAAGAATAGGAATAAATTGGATAGTTCTCACTATAAAACTGAGTAGGTAAAGAAGGCCTTCAGGAACCAGTGCTTTTAAGGTTAATAAATGATCTGAATTTGAGAGTGAACTATGAAATTTGCAGATGTCACTAGAATGTCAAGGATGAAGTCCCAAGTCCAGCTGGTTCAGAACACAGTGATCTGGCTGTGAAGAATCTCACTATTTCTGATAAATCTCTGCTGGGTGCCAGTGTGCTTCCAAGAGCAATTGAAAGTGTTTGTTTTGACCTTTAACCAAGGGTGGGATCTTCATATTTTTTGAACTTCAACACCAAAAAAAAATCTGCTGTGAAATTGCTTAATCTAGAATTGATGGGGCTTTATCAACACACCCCAAGCCCTCTCAGGTGTTTGAATAACTTGCAGATGGTGCACAAATGACAAAAGATCCCTCCATTTTTGAGTACTGATGCAGAGGAGCTAGTTGTGCAAGTCTAAGATCTGGGGTACTGCAAAGCATCAGGGGTATTGTAGTTTCCTAAGAGGCACCATGTATGGAGCATAATGGGCAGGGGCAAGACACTATTCTTAATGCTTTGTGGCACCAAAGAGCTTAGCTCCGCACAGTCACTGCCTCTGTCGTGAAATTCGGCAATGGAGGGATCTTTTGTCATTTATGCATCAGCTGCAAGTGATACCAAACACTTGAGAAGGCTTTTTTTGGGGGGGTCCCGAGAGTTCTAACCAGGGCAATTCCAGCACGTTTCTGGGTGTTGTAGTTTTTAAAAATACATGAAAATCCCATCACTACGTTCCACCCTTTCTGGAGGGTTTGCCTAGCTCTGTGGAGCAGATTTTCAGAAGATGGAAGAGGCTGTGCAGGAAGGGGTAATTGGCAAAAGTAAACGTCTGATTCCTCTTTTCTCCAGAGGAGTTTTTGTCCTTAATATTCGGGGGGGGGGGGTTGGCCTTAATTTCCTTGCTCTAATATAATAATATTTCCTTCTTCCAGATTGGAGGGTTTTCACTAAACAAATTGGTGAACTTTAATCTAAAAGAAGTTGAAAATGACATTGTGGTCTGGGAGCACAGTCCTGGTGGGGATGATCCCAGTTCTTCAAAGGAGGCTTCTCCTAAGAGGGGCAAGGTAGGGTGATGCATTATTTTTAAACAGGGAACATATTTAAAATACACATATTTTAAAATTATATTTGCCTTGGGTTTTTGTGGAGTAAAACATAATGAGCTTTAATTGTCAAAAAGAAATGTTATTCTTATTACTGGAATATGTGCAAGACTGGGAAAAGAAGTCTGACATGAAAGTCTTCTCGTTGATTTCAGTGAGATTTGATTGTGCCTACAGCACATAATCAGTTTTTCAAGCATGCAAGCCGGACTACAGAACGAAGGATTCAATGAGTGCATGTCCTCGCAATAGGTCATAATGTATTGTACCTAAGCAGGAAATCAGGGTCCTGTGTAATGCAGTTTTATAATAAAGGATGTCTTTAGTCAGTTGCTGTACCATTTTGTATTTCGTGAGATAGGTTTAAAAGCCTGAGGATGAGTACATATAAACATATGGAAGCCAGAATTAAACATGTTATTTTTAAAAAGGCACTGATTCACTACAGTCTCTCTTGTTTTTTACTGCCAAATTAGTTTTGCTTTAAGGAAAGCAAATTTAAGCATTGCACATATTGTTCTTTTAAAAACAATTTAAATTGAAACAGGTAGCCATTGTGCTATTTATAAAAATATTGCCTTCAGCAGTGATTTGTAGCACATTTACACTGTCACTAGAGCATACTACTTGCTGCCTTCAGGAGAGGTAACTCTCCTGAAGGCAGCAAGTCTTGTTACATTCTGTCCAATGACATAGCTTTTTGTTTGGAATCAGTTGCTTTCAGCTATGAGAATGTGCTTGATAGGAATTCTGCTGCCAGTCATTGTGTGCTTTGAATAACTTATAACCTGATCACATGAGGTTCTTTCACATTTTAGACTGTAGTGCTGTACTCTACTCTGAAAGTTGAGAATAAGTCTCAATGAACACTCACTTCAGTGGTGCATAGAAACAAAATTACTGTACAGATACTGGGCTGAGCTTAGTGTTACAGTTGTCTCTTTCAGTCCATTCCGTGCATTCAGAACATCTGGAGCCTTGTTGATGCTGTTATATTGCTGTATTTTCCTGCTTTGGTGTGTGAGTTCTAGACAAGCATAGTGATTAAGGCTTTGCTTTAATTGGCAGGTTCCTTTAGTGTTTGATTCAGATCATCAGTGTTCAAGCCCAGTTGGTCAGTTGTGGGTTGAACTTCTTCGTTTCTATGCCTTGGAATTTAATTTGGCTGACTTTGTCATCAGCATACGTCTCAAAGAAAAACTTTCCCGTGAATCAAAGGACTGGCCTAAAAAGAGAATTGCTGTGGAAGGTATTTTATGTTAGCTCACTTACAGAAAAATCCACTTTACAATAACTGTTGGAGAAGTCTCAACCATTTTTGATTTACTGTTGTAGTACTTTATTGTTAAGCCTCTGAAAGAAAGGAAGGAAGGTGTAGCCTTTGCATCGGAAAACAGTGCTATCCTCCTACCCATTGCAGACCCTCTAGCTATACTTTCATCCTTCGTTCTCTGCCCTCCCATTTGTTTTGCTTTTCTGAAGGACAAAGCAGATACATTTGTCTGTTCCTTCTTCCTTTTGATATACATCTGACATGGCGCCCCCGTCTTAACTACTGCTGTGACAATGCAAGATCATTTCATTTTTGTTATAATGCAATGTGATAACTCCTGATATAGCCTGGTGACACACAAAACAATTGCTAGATTGCAGTCACTTACAACTGTTCGCTATGGCTCTTGGCTCCATGTAGCAAGCCATAGGTGAGCATCTGCTGGCCATGTGAATGAGGTGGTCTTTTCATTGTCAGCTGTTTTAAAAAACAACAACAACAAGATAGTTCATGTATGTAATAAGTTCTGTAATATTTGTTTATTGTTGTAGATACATGCCATTAAGTCAGTTTCAACTTTTGGCAGCCCTAATGAGTTTTGAGGTATACAAGGTATTCAAGCAACCACTGCCGTCCTTCAGTTAGTTTCCATAACTGAGCAAGCATTTAAATTGAATTTTTAAATTGTGTTTGTTTCTATACACAAACAAATAAAAACAAACAATTTTGATCTGGAAGCTTGTAAAACCTTCCGTTATGATATAAGACTTCCCGGACGCATAAAAATGTACAGCTGAGACACAAGGTGTTATAACATATTTCCTATCCTATACAATTGATAGAGTAGAAGGGTTCAGTGTAGGCCAGTGGTTCCTAAGTTAGGGTAACCCAGGTGTTCTTGGGCTGCAACTCCCAGAAACCCCAGCCAGCATAGCTAGTGGTGAAGGCTTCTGGATGTTTCAGTTCAAGAATATCTGAGTTGCCCAATATTGGGAATCACTGGTCTAGGCCATCCACTGATGATCACAATATACATAATCAGGTGTATTCCTTCATGTAATGCAGGACAGCACCCAAAAGCTAGTGAGAATTCAATAGATGTTTGCTTTTTGTGAAAACCAGGCAATGCCACAAACAAAATGTGTCTGCAAAAGCAAGGTACTTGGAGCCAACCAGATCACCCCACTTGAAAGATTTTTCCCATTGTGGGAAGAACTCCATAGGCAAAAAAGCCACTTGGGGACATAGCTAGGGAAGGGATTAAGCACCTTTTCCCCCAATGCTTCTTGGATCCCAGTTAGTGTGAAGGAATCACAGTAAGGAAGATACTGTTTCATGTATCTCTATACAGTGTACACTTTAGTCCCTGGAAGTTGCTTCCATTACAGTATTCTGAACTTTTAAAAATATTTGGTATGTTAAACAGCTTAGGTCATGCTTGACATGCTGGTTCACAGCAGGCACGTAGCACAGCATTTTCACGGCATGTACAAACTCACCTTTTCCAACTGCCTTTTGAGGCAGTTTAGAGTGGTCTCTTTCCTCTGCAGTTTGTTGGAAGCTGAAGCTTTTGTTTCATTAGAGGTTTCCTACATTCTGCAAATAAAGCGAGTTCTCTGTGGTTTTTATAATTTCCTGTTTATGTGTCTTGACTTGGTTTTTTATTCATACTTTTTATTTCACCTGAGACATCACTTGAAATGGCAAGGTGAATAAAAATGTGATTAATAAGTCATATTTAAACCTGGAGAAACACCTTCAGTAATGTGTCAGTATTTGAATTTGATTTTTCTTTCCTTCAGATCCTTATTCTGTGAAGAGAAATGTCGCACGAACACTTAATAGTCAGTTGGTATATGAATATATTCTTCACTGTTTACGGGCAACATACAAGTATTTCGCTATGCCACATAAGCAGAGTACAAAAAATAACCAGAAGAGCCTTCCTGAATCCATTGCACTTCTAGAACCTGAGGAGAGTGCTTTGAAACATGATATACCTGACATGAAAACTGCACATGATGAAACAGAGGGAAATATAGTAGACAATTATGTAGTTCCTGCCAAGAAAAGTCTGTATTTTTCTCAGGAGCACACGTTTGAGCCCTCTCAGATATTTGGATCTGAAAACTTTGTGGAAGAACAGCTGACAGATGGTATCGATGATTTAGGAATTTCTCATGAGGACTCAGACTGTATAATTGAAGAATTTATATCTGGTGACAATGATGAACTTAAGCCAAGCTGTGAAGAGACAGAGAGTGGAAACGAAGAAGAAGAACAGCATGAACATGTTAGAAAATGGGAAGGTCATTTGGATATTAATCAAGGTTTGGATGAAGACAGTGAAAGTGGGGACCTTGCGATGCCAACTAATGAACATGATGTTGAAACTGACAGCATTTCTGATTTGGAAAGTTTTCAAAACATGGTGGCAGCTCTTGATGAGTTTGGGTTAGAATGCAGTAGTGTGTTGGAAGATAAGGTTGATGTTGACGAAGAGAGCACAGAAGGTACTGATGAATTGGATGATTCGCTGGTCAAATTGGAACCACCAACTCAGGAACAAGTATTTGAAATGGATAACTCAGAAGAGGAAGAGGAGGTAGAAGAGGAAGAAGAAGATGAAGAAGAACACAGTATTGTAAACCAGAAACAACATAGGAATGTTATCAATACTGAAGATGAACTGGACAACACATACACTGGATCTGGCATTGAGGAAGCTCTGTCTGAAGAGGAAGAACTGTTTATGTCTCTCAAATATGAAGATAATGAATTCGAGAAGAATGAGGATGAACTTCCAAGAGCAGATTTGAATAAAGGGGACAGTGTTGAAAATGAGAAGTTTTCAGAAAGCAACATAGCCATAGACCAGAGTAGTAAATCTGAATTCTGCTATGAGTTTAATAGATCTATTTTCACAAAAGGAAAGGTAATAATATCTGTCAAACTCTTGTGTGTATTGTGGTGCTTAAATTCCAGCTCATGCTTTTCTGTGGAAGCAGCATAGTAGTGTAATTTCCAGAGTAGGCCCATGAACTGGAGGTTCCCACTCCTGCTGTGCAAAGTGATAAAGACTCAATCATTGACTTCCATAGCATTTGTGAAGTATCACTTCTGTTGAAACTGCTCTCAGGGTATTTCATCCCTGAAGTCTGGCATTGCTGCCCCCCCAACCCCCATACAGTGAAACAAAGATAACCAGTTCGCAGGCAGACCTGGTTGTGGCAGGCTTTCCAAATGTCTGGTGGAGCCTAGTCATGAAGTAATTGGTCTCGTACAATCACACTACATGACACTGAAACCCCTCACTCTTAGGTAACTCTGGTATTTGAGAATCCTGACCATCCATGGGGAGATTAGATTGTTCTGACCTCCGCACTGTGATTAGGAGAATAGGTTGGCCCTCAGTAATACAAAACTTAAATCATGCCTAATTCATTAAGTTAATCCTCTCAGATGATAAATTCAGTCTCCCCATGTATACCCATGACTAAGCAATGGTTGCTAACTGCTGCCTGGTTTCTCTTCCACTTTGTAGTTTCAGAAGCTAGGGAGTGATTCAGATCAAATCAGATAAATATTTAAATGTGCCTTGCTTTATTTTGATGCAGGCTCCTACAATCGTGTGCAGCTTATGTAAGCGGGAAGGTCACCTAAAAAGAGACTGTCCAGAAGACTTCAAGAAAATTGAGCTAGATCCTTTGCCACCATTAACACCCAAATTTTCCAGTATGTTGGATCAAGTGTGCATCCAGTGTCATAGTAAGTTCACAAAACTTTATTTTAATTGCAGGCTTAACATCAGGCTTAAGAAAAGTTCTTAGTATTTCTCTTACTGGGACTGCTTTTCCCTTTCCTCCAGCTGCTCATAGGCAGGGCTTGAAAAATCTACTCCTCAACTCGTCTGTGACAAGTGAAAAAAAGCTGCTTGACGAGCCACAGCTCCCTCAGTCTCTCTCTCTCTCTCTCTCTCTCTGATCCTACGGTCCTCCCCCCCCCTTCCCATTGCAAAAGGAAAAACAGCCCTCTTCTCAAGAGAAGAGAGAGCGTCACATAGATATATAGCTCAGCAGGAGAATGTAGAGTAGCCCCATGCTGGAGAATATGGAGATTCCCTGCTCCCAATTTCAACCGAAGGACCTAGCTCCTTCCCTTCAGAGGCCAGGCACTTTTGCTTTCAGTTTTATTTTTGCTGGAGACATTCAAAATACAGTACAAGCTTCATGACCCCACAGGCACGCAGGTAATAAAACAACCCAAGTCTGAGGGTATATTTATGTTGGGTTTGTATACATTGTTATGTAGAAAGTGCCTAGTTTAAATTTAAATTTAAGTTTAAACATAAATTGCAAGGCTACAGTCCGGTCATGCTGATTTGTGAAATTTTTGACTGACTGGTGAGACATTCTAAAATTTTTCAAGCCCTGCTTATAGGTCATATTGGGTATTTAAATGGTTAAAATACCCAATTTTTCCAGTCACTTTCCTGATGCAAGTCATGACTGTGTTGTTTTATCATCTAAATTTCCCAACTAGCGTCTGCTGCTGACCCAGAGAGAGAAAGAGAGAGAGAGAGTACATATCTAAGAATATTGCTAAATTCCTGTTGCTTCTGAATAAATTTATACACTTTGTAACTAGTAGCTGATACAAAATGTACACAGAGTTCACTATGTCTTCTCTTTGTATTTGTTTACCATAAGAAAAGATGCAGTCTCATATAATGTAACTAGAATTTCTTCTTACAAAAATTCATTTTTCTGAATTAATATTGGTTCTTTTACGTCAGGTTGTCAACTGTTGGGTATTGCATGATGCTTTTCTGTTCTCTCATAGCACCATATATCCAGCACTTTTCCTGCTTTACTAAGACTATCAGATAATTATGATGTAGAGCAATGCTGTTTAAAAATATTAGTAGAAATATCTGTTTGGTATATCTCTCACTTATGGTCATGATCCTCCTAAACTGAATTCATAACTGTCTTTTTAACAGAGGATTTTGCTCCAAATGTTATAGAGGACCAGGCTCGTGAATACATACGGCAAAACCTTGAAAGATTCATCCAGCAAGAATTTCCAGGTGTTCCTTGTAGTTAAAATTCTTATTTTATATAATTTTAGAATATTTTGCAGAATTTGAGACTGTTTGAGAATATTTTTATATTTTTAGCTTGCTCTGCTAAATGTGATAGCAAGCAGAAAATTTAAGTGTATATGCCTATATTTCTTATTTCTAGATTTCCTTATGCTGTTAACTGGCCTAATTTTAAGTTACTTTCACTGAAACACATCCTTCCTTATAGGCACAAAATTAAACTTGTTTGGCTCTTCAAAGAATGGATTTGGCTTCAAGCAAAGTGATCTTGACATTTGTATGACAATTGAGGGTCTGGAAACTGCTGAGGTAGCTTTAAACATTGGAAACTTTATTAACATACAGCATTACCTGTCTTTCATCTTTTTTATTTTCTGAGCTGTTCTGTTCCACATGCATTTACATGTTGTATTAGTAATAATTATCCATTGCAAAGCTGATAAATAATCAGGTTCACTATTTCATCATTCAAGCTTATTTAGTAAATCTTTCCTTTTATTTCAAAGTGCATATTCAGTAAATAACATATATTGTCTTATCAATATACCCCTTGAAACAACTTTCCCCAGCCCACCACTTTGCAGATGTGTTGGATGATAACTCCCATCATCCTTTAGGAGATGTTTGTACTAAAACATTTGTGTAACATCATCTTAATTATAGGGACTGCTTTTTCTTTTTTAAATTATTATTGGCCATACTCCTCTTCCATAATTCTGCCAGCATAACACTAACTACAAAACATTTGGAGTCAAATTGCCTCAGATTAAGCAATCATTGTTATATATTACCTGTTGTGTGCTGAGTTGCATGACTCAGTATGCAATAATCTCTATAGTAATTTTGGCCAGAATTAATTATATAAGTGGTGCCTGACAGTCACCTTAGATATGTGAAGCAGCTTAGGGAATGAAAATAATTATAGCTATTTGCATCTGTTAAAAGTAGTTTTCAGTGCATGGCTTTTTCTGCCTTTGTTAGTGTAGTAGACTGCAGACCTCTTCCAGCATATCATTTGGAGGCTGTAGAGCAGAGAAGCAAAATGCAGAATTCTTCCTTTCATTCTTCCTTCCTCGTTTTAACACAGGTTGTGCAGTTTTTGCAGTCTAGTGGTTTGCATATGCTTTCCCCTGGACCTCAGACAGATACCCTCCCCAACTCTACTGTCTGCTTAAGAGTCAAAAAAGATTGTCAGTGCCACTTCTGAAAAAGGCACCTGATGCCTAAACCAGTGCTTGAAGTGTTTTATTAATTCCAAAGGATGCCGAAACATAAAATTATATCTGGGGGTTGGGGGTAGAGAGACTGGGCTACAAAAGAAAAAAAACATGAAAATAGGTAAATATAAAGTTGACAATTTAAAAGTCTGCATTTAAAATAAGAGGTATATAGCACAATTTATTTTTATTTTTATTTTGCTTCTATGAAATGTATTACAGTAAAGTTCCAGTGGCACTGTATTTACACACAAAACTGATTCAGCTCCAAGTAGAGTGAATGCCAGTTTTTTTTTTCACTTTGCTTTCATTATTCAGCATGGATTGCTTTGTAAGAACAGGATATGTTGCATATGCTTGCAATTTTCTGAATTTGAAATTGTAGAAAAGACCGTATGCAGCCTAAGCGTATGTCACATGTTAAAGCAGGTTTCACACAAAGTTTTTGCATTACTGCAATCTGTTTGAGCTGTAAGCCATATGAATTGGTGTGTTAAACAATGAAACTGATCACCAAAGCACTATTCAGTCATTGCTGAAGCACATGATGCCCACTTTGTTGTGGGAAGAACACTAGCCCCACTCCCTCCATTACTTTTGACATGAGAAAATGACAGTCTGAAGAGGGGGAAGTCCTGTTGTCTCCATGTAGCTTGGCCACAACCAGAACCCAAAATTTTGGTAGATATGGAGAGGCTACTCAGACAGAGCAATTTCCTTTCAGTGTCACTTTCATGTGTTGAAAGCAGTGATAGATAGTGGCAGAGCCAGGCCACTCTCTTCAATGCATGTGGGTTCTACATGTTTTAATACTGACTGAATAGGAACCCAAGCTTTCCATAAGCAATAATTAACAGGAATATTAGAATATGTCAATAGTACAATAGAATCCTTTTTCTGTCACAGGGTCTTGATTGTATAAGAATTATTGAAGAACTTGCACGTGTTCTCAAGAAACATTCAGGTAACCTTTCTTTTCTTGGAAATGTGCTCTTATTTTTAAATTTTTATTTATTTATTTTATATTCAAGAGCATGATTTATGTCACACAGGCATTCACCTTAAAAGGAACCTTGATTTCAGTATTTCTCATCACCGACCCCTAGTGAAATGAAATATATGTGAAATATGAGAAATCAATCAGCAGCAGATTACAAGTTAGCAAGTTACCAGTCTTGCACCTGGTCTTACGACTGGCATGTGATGAAGCTTACAACTTCTTCCACTGTTACGTAACCAGATTCCACTTAGTCTGGAGTAAAATCCTTGTGGGATTCTGACTATTAACAAACAGACTCATCATAGGCATTGAATGGAGATGTGGGAGTACTGTTATGAAATGCAGGAAGAATTGTTGAGTATAATACCAAGTGTAAATGTAGCTTAACAGCAAGCACTTAGTAGCTGCTTCTTTAGTTGTAAACAAATACATCTCACATATTTTGCTGTAAACCTAAGGGAAGAGACTGCCTTGATTTTATTGAAACAAGAGGTTTTCCAGCTGAGAAGCCTGTTAAAACTTTAAAGTAAGTTTAGTTACCACTTTTGTTATTGCTTTCAAATATAATGCATTAAAAGAGTGGTTTCTTAAACTCTTTGCCATCAAGAAATCATTTTCACACTGACTTATCTGCCATCAACTCCTGTTCATTTGAAAGAATATGCCTCTGAAGCTGAGATGAATAATTCATTCACATAATTCAGTGACACTGTCACTTGTCATGAATTTAGTCCTTGAATGTGTAGAAGATTCCCTAATAGCTGTGAATTCTAGGGAAGCACCACTAGTGGCAGGCCAGCTGTTTGTTGGCTGTTACTATTCTTTAAATAGAGAAACCCATGATAAAATATTCCCTGGAAAATTATTTGAAAAAGGAAGCGCTAAAATAAGATGTGTTGAATTCACTAAGGCATCAACAACTATACGTGCATGGGGCTGGAGCCTATACATCAGTGGTCCCCAACCTTGGGCCTCCAGATATTCTTGGACTTCAACTCCCAGAAATCCTGGCCAGCAGAGGTGGTGGTGAAGGCTTCTGGGAGTTGTAGTCCAAGAACGTCTGGAGGCCCAACGTTGGGGCCACTGCTATACATTATACAATGCTGGGTTTCTGTTGTAATGCTGCCATTCAATTCAATAGGTATAAATCCATCTTTCCTATTTTCTCAGGTCTAAGAAATATATTACCCATTACAACTGCTAAAGTGCCAATTGTCAAGTTCTTTCATGTCCGAAGTGGTCTTGAAGTAGACATCAGTTTGTACAACACATTGGTAAGAGCATCTTCTAATCTGTTATGCAAAAACTATTTTAAACATTCATTTGATAAGTCTTACCAAAAGGGCTAATTTGTATTTTATTGAGTGATGGAAAATCACCACTGGAACTGGGACTGCAACGGGCAACATGCCTTTAATTGCATTTAATGCCTTCTTTCATGCTGACAAAAAGGAAAATGAAGTATTGTGTGAACAGATCAAGAACATTTGAAAAATCAAAGAGTAAAGATGTCATAGTTGTCCCTTCAGTGTCTTGTTCCACCATGGACTGTAGAAATAGCTAAACATTAAAATATATCTAGCCAGAAAAAAAATTCAAAAGTATCTCATTTTAAGTTTTATTTTTAATATTCTGTTGTCTTAAAAATAAGTTGAATTTTTGTCTTTAATAGTAAAAGATTAAAGGGTTCCACCTTAACAAATCCAACTTGAGTGGCTCTGAAACATCGTAATTATTTTGCATGTGAACACATTTTCATAGAACTTGCTGAGCCAGAAATATTCTTTGTCATCTCTACTTTACATTTGATCTTCTTTTTTTATAGGCTTTGCATAATACAAGACTTCTGTCCTGTTATGCAGCTATTGATCCCAGAGTTAAATATCTCTGTTACACAATGAAAGTATTTACCAAGGTAAAGTAGTGTGAGAGGTAACATTGGATAAAATGCAACACCAGTCAGGTTTTGCAATTAATTTCTCCCTCTTTTCAGATGTGTGACATTGGTGATGCATCTAGAGGCAGCTTATCCTCCTATGCTTACACTCTTATGGTGCTCTATTTCCTTCAGCAGAGAAACCCACCTGTCATTCCTGTTCTTCAAGAGGTATAATACATATTTAAATTTTGATACACTTGCCAACATAATTCAAAAGCTGCAAATCTTAAACTGTGTCCTGACTCTTGTTTCTTTCCTTAGATCTACAAAGAGCCAAAAAAACCTGAAATTCTAGTTGATGGTTGGAATGTCTATTTCTTTGACAGAGTAGATGAACTGGTAAGATAAAATGCCACATCTTCAAGTTCACATTTCTAATCTTTGGCAGAACAATGGAGGAAAAAATGACTGAAATGTGTTGGGATGGGAAAGGATTGAAAAAACATTGCTTTTAGTGTTCTAGAACACTATACTCTTCAACTTAAACAAGACAATAACATTGCAGTGGCTCACACTCCTCTTTATAGTCCAAAGTCCCATTGCTTAGTATAGTAAATCGTACTATAGTAGGCTCTGTGACATAAGGCAGATGATGTCATCAGCCATGGGTTTTTATCTTGAACTAAACATTTCCTATTCTCTTCCCCACAGAACGTTCCCTATGGATCCCTTTAAACTTGAGGAAGTCTATGTGGATTGGTGGGGGGGGGGGAGGAACTCTTTTATGTCTGAAAGTCACCAGTGGCAGTCCCAGTTCCAGTGGTGATTTTCCATCAATAAAGGATCCACCCCATCCTGAGGCTCCCAAGGTTTCCTCAGGTCTGAAGGGATCCTTAGGGAGCCTCAGAATTTGGGTGAGGGGGTGGAATATGAATTTTAAAGATAAAAAGCTCTGGCTGATTACTCCCATCAGCCTTCTGTGCACAAAGTTGCACAGGATTCCTTGAACTTGATTCATAATCCATATTTCTGAGTTTAAATTAGTAGACTTGGAAAACCAATTTTAGTGGGTCAGTGGAGAAGACATTAATCGTGAACCTTGAAGGTAAAGTTAGGAAGTCTGCTCAAGTAAGGATGGACAAAACACATTATACATCATGCCTTTGCCTCCCTGCCACCGCCTCTCCCCCCCCCCCGAATCCAATGCACTGCCCATGCCTCTTCAGCTCCCATAAACCCCCAATAAAATTTTTGGCCCCTAATATGCAAAGAACACCTTTCAAGGTCTGTGAGGGGTGTAATCTGAACAGTACATCAAATCTCTCCCCCAGGACGTTTTAGATCATAAATAGAGATCGGGATGAATATGAAAACAGATCAGCTTTTTTGACAAAAATAGCCAATTTGTTAAATATTCATCCCTTCATATTTGTGGGTTCCAGGAAGCCCCACAAATATGAAAGGATCAATATTTACCTGTTTTTATTTGTCCTTCGTATTAAAAAACCCCCAAAAACACCATTCTGCCTACCAGCCACCAATCAGCTGATGGGCAGCAGATAGGCAGTCACAACCCCACAGCCTACCCCCCTTCCTCTCCCTACTTTATCTCTTCCCCACTGACACCCCCTTACCTTAATGGCTGCTGCCAAGGTCTCTTTCTGGCCTCCCAGCCACGGCATGTAAAAGGGAGACTGCCTTTTGCAAAGATGGCAGTTGCAGCTTCATTTAGGGTAGGGAAGCTGCAGCTGCCATCTTTGCAAAGGGCAGCCTGGGTTCCCTTAGATGGCGGCTGCAGCTTCCCTACTCTAAATGAAACTGCAGCCACCATATTTGTAAAGGGCAACCAGTCTCCCTTTTTACATGCCGTGGCTGCGAAGGCCTGATAGAGACCTCAGCAGCAGCCAATAAGTTAGGGGGGTGTCGATGGGGGTGGGGAAGGGCTAAGGTAGGAAAAGGAAGGGGTGTGGGGTTGGCTGGCTGTGGGGGGTGGCTGCCTATTGCTGCCATGGCAGAATGGTGATTTTGTGTTTGTGTGTGTGTATGATCGGAAGAGGGGCAGTGGGGTGTTTGTTTTTTTAATGATCAACCCCCCACAAATTGACGTCATTGTAACATCCTCCTTATACCTCACAAAGGGGCCGTTACGTCACACTCAATCACTCTTTGTTTCCACTGCCACCAACCATTCCCTCAAATGAATCTTCAGGCCAAAGTATGAATTCAAAATAAAAACTTAAGGTTTATTGTGTACAAACAAAAGGAAGGGAAAATCACTTGAATATAAATAATAAAGCAATCACTATAATAATATAACAATCACACACACTCTCTCACAGACCCTCACTATATAGCACAGTTCTTATCTCACAGTATCTCCAAGCCCTAACTCCCTATCTCAACCCTATCTCAAAGCCCTATCTCAAAGCCCTATCTGGCCCTATCTCCAAGCCCTATCTGAATCTCTCACACCATTCACTTCCCCTTGTATACAACAGCTCCACCCCTTATGTCCCACCCCCGTCACGCCATTGGTAGATGACACACAGCTTCAGCAGTGACAGGCAGGTGATGTCATAGCTGTATGTAACAGTCATTATTGGTCACTTCATGGGAGCAACTTCGTTCTTTGTGAGTCATCAACTTTTGACAACTCACGAAGCAGGACGACTCACCAAAATGGTGAATCATCGCCATCTCTAATCATAAAGTTTCTTTTTGAAAAATCAGAAGTGGTCTACCAGTCATTCCCTGTCTCTAAAAATATATATTTTTAAGTTGGCTTAGAAAACTTGAAATGGGGCATAAAACACAAATTGTAGCCCTTGACCCTCTAGCAAAGATTGAAAATAGCCCTCAACATTTGGAAGTTACCCACTGCTGCTTTAGTTGTTCTAAAATGTAGGGATTGTAGACTACACAAGTTGTGTGTTTCAAGTATACAGGTCACCCCCCACCTGTTTGTTCATATTTTACAGTGATTATAATTTATAAAATGCTGAATTTGTTTGGAGTATATTCCTCCCTGAAATTGGATTGGTAAAACTATGCTTTATTTGGGCAGATTGAAATGTAATTTCATTTTGTTTAATGAATAAATTTAAAAGTGTGCAAGTTACATACATAACCTGAATTTTGTTATGCTTTAAATTTTATGTAAGGCTTCAACAACTATGTATTTTGACGCAACACCTTAGTAGGTTCAACTGCCCTGAAATACTTAAATGGATCTTTATCTGATATTTCATTATGTATGGTAAGACTAAAGTACTGAATGTCAAAGAAACACAAACTTTTTTCTTAATTTCAGCCAGCAGTTTGGCCAGAGAATGGTAAGAACAAGGAATCCATTGGAGAGTTATGGCTGGGACTTCTGCGTTTTTATACTGAAGAATTTGATTTTAAAGAACATGTTATCTGCATCCGAAGAAAAAATTTGCTTACGACATTCAAGAAGCAATGGACTTCAAAATACATAGTGATTGAAGGTATTACTACAAATTACGATAGTTTTCCTACCAATTTTTCAAAAGTCATTTTACTATAAGAGCCAAGTTCATTAAATACTTCATTGGTTATGTTAGGACAGTAGCTAGAGTTCAGTGGTTGTTGGAGGTTCCAGTCCATTTGTATTTGGTTGGCCACACATTCTCTATCCCTGCTTTAAAGAAAGGGATATGGAACACTGAGTAAACAAAGAAGTATTGCATTAAAAAAATAAGACTGATATATAAACATAGTGGTGAAGATGTTTATAACCTGCTTAGTTGCACTCTGAACCTGCTTTAGAGCCACTTCCGCACTGTGCTTCATGTGTTCATCTCTCAGTGCTTGACATTGACCATGCCTGTAACTTATTTATGCATCTGTTTCTCTTGATTTGCATTTGCTGTAGTTGTCCCTTGCTAACTATCTGCCAGGAACTGGTCATGATGGTGGCCTAGCTCTACCAACAACTCTTTCTGTCCCTGTAACTGTAGTTAAAACATGGTCCCAGCAAGCCTACTTTCATTGGTCCTTTCTGTTCCTTAGTATTGGAATTTTATTTCCCTTCTTATATGGATCGTTTTAGTGAAATAAAGTTTGATGCATTAGAATGTTCCACGGATGGTTTTCAGTTCAAAAGACTGTTCTATCATTGAAATATTTTCAGTTTTCAAAAACTTACAGTCTTCAGTGTTTCCTTTCTATTTCAGGGGAGAGAGAGGAAAAGGGGAAGAAGTGTTGAATATTCCCATTTTAACTTCATTTGAAAGAAATTTCTTTTTTAAGCCTGATTGACTCCTTAAAGCGGGTTTTCACTAAAGTGTGTCATGTTCTACTTGTAGATCCTTTTGATCTGAATCATAACCTTGGTGCTGGATTATCAAGAAAAAGTAAGATTTCTTGTCCTACTTATCTTGAACAAAAATGCTCATGTAATTGACATGTGATTTTTTCCATTTAGACAGTTAATTATTTTTGTTTGATTATTCTAGTGACAAACTTTATAATGAAGGCTTTTATCAATGGCAGGAGAGTGTTTGGCACTCCAGTAAGAGGATTCCCTAAAGAATATCCTTCAAAAATGGTGAGTGTGTTTGAGGTCCACTGCCACTGCCCTCTGCAGCCCTGGTGGCCTTTACATCTCTCACCAATAATTTCATTTACTCCATGTTGCTGTATTCTTTATTTGAATAAATAAAGCCAAGTGCTTTCCGCAGTGGTTCCCCATCATTGCCCCCACCCCCACCCCAGAAGACTGGGTTTCCTGCACTGGTCTGCTTGATACAGTCAATTCAGTGCTGGCCTTGGCTCCTGTCACTGAGGCAGCTGGACAGTGAGCGTTAGCTGCTTTCTTGCTCCTCAAGGGGCCTCCTTCTCCTCTTGCATTGACATTTGCACTGCCAGCACCCGAGCTGGATTGGCATGGGCTCCACAGGACCCTGTCAGGCATCTCAGGCACCACGGAGCTGGTGGGGCAGGAGCCTTCTCCAGGGCTGGCATGGTGGAAGCCTCTTTTCTCCAGCTTTGGCCCTTTGCCACATGGAACCTGCATGCCAACTTCTGCCAGGGTTCATCCTCTCAGTCCCAAGCCAGATCATCCATCATGGAGAAGTGGGGTTTCAGCTCTTCTGCCGCTGAGGCCAATGTCTCTTCCTCCTCTTTCGACCCTCCACCAGGTGCTGCAAGCCCATAAGACCCCAAAACTTTCCCCCCACATTCTTTTAACCCTGCTGGCAGGCTCTCTCCGTAACCTTCCAGGTGCATCCCCTCCCCCATCTCCCCAGAGACACCTGGGCTTTCCTCCTTCCAGCCTTCTTGAAATCTCAGAGCAGCTGCTCTACCTGGGCTCTTGGGGATGGGGCAGACAATCTGCCCGGGGCACAAGTGGCAGCCTCCTCATAGTATGCTAGAAATCTAACAACAAAAATGCATTGCAAATATTGTATTGGGATATTTTTGCCCCACCAGCGATATGGGAATATCTGCATAACCCTCAGTGCCAAAATTGTACTGGGCAGTTATATTAGCAGAAGGGAAATGGCCTATTTTTGCAGTGACAAATTGCCACTAATTAATGAGCCCTCACTTAGATTCCTGGCCATGCACCAAGCTACCCAGATGGTGTGCACTATGAAATCCAAGCAGGAACATGTTAATTAGCAGCAATTTGCCAAAGTGAATTCCACCCCTTCCTCTAGCATAACTACGAAACAGGAATTTGACCACTTGTAGAAAAACTAAATTATACAGTATGTGTACATCCAAGATTGGCAGGTATCTCTGTTTAAAAGATTGGCCATGTTAAAGTATTTTGTTTATATAACTTAATTTTATTAAAGAGTCTTTTGTCAAAATTCCTTCTACTAAACATTTTAGTGTGTATATTAACTATTCTTGATGAGCACAGAAACCACATAGGCTGTAAGGTGAAACTGCACGTCTAAAATCAAACTATGTATGCCCATGATATCTGTATGAAAGAAATTGAAGCTCTTACATCCAGTGAATTCAATGGATTGGGAGAGAGTGATGTCACCTGGTCATACAGTAGTACCCCCTCATCTGCAGGATCACTATCTGTTGATTCACTTATCTGTGGTCTGAAAATATTTTTAAAATATCAAAATTAAAATAAAATAAATGTTTCTTAAGATGAAGTTACCAGAGCTGGACACTAGAGGGAAGCAGAGGTCATGCTATATATAGTATTTGCTGTTAAAATAGTGCCCCACATTTTTCAGTTTACTGTACTTATATGACCTATCTATTCTCCCTTTCCATGGATTTCATATATTCATCCAAAGTGCACTTGCATGACTTTGATTGCGTGTAAGCCACTTGGACATGAAAATAATAGCAACAAGGGAAAACTCAGCAGATGTATTTAATTTCTGTGGTGAGTACATCTACAGAGTCTTTCTTCTCACTTATCTTCAGATGAGCATTACAGCGTGCAGCTTTGCAGACACAAATGAAAATCTGGATAAATCTACAACTAGATTGAATTCAAAGATGGATTTCTGTAGTTTTATTTGATGCTTCTCTAGAATCCTTACAGGTTATTTAAAAACAAAAGCAAAGTAAGGCATTAAGCAAGTCATAGGCAGTCCCTCTCAGAGGATGTTGTAGAGCTGGAAAAGATGCAGAAAAGGGCAGACAAGGTGATCACAAGACTGGGCAAATCTCCTGTGAATAAAGAGGCTGCAATATTTGTGGCTGTTTAGCTTAACTAAAAGACAAGTAATGGAGTAGCGACATCGGTGATTATGAAAGGATGCATGCTATGGGGAAAATTGATAGGCAGAAGGATTTCTCTGTGAATTTGGATCCCATGAAGCTGAATGGTGGGAGATTTCAGAGGATGGGAAAAACTACTTCATAAACCTCAACTGTGGAATTTGCTGCTACAAGATGTATCAGTAGTCTTCAACTTGGATGTCTTTGAAAGACAATTCATAGAAATTGAACATCTCCATGATGGCTGCATATTACCTCCAGTATTGGAGGCAGTATGCCTCTGTATCTCAGTTGGTGAGGCATATGAGTAGGAAGGTCCTGTTGTACTCTTGTCCTGCGCTTAAGCAACTGATTGAACCCTATGTAAACAGAATGTGGGCCCAAGGAGGTTTTCAGTCTGATTTGGCATGCTTTTTCTTATTTTGTTAATTATTAGTGTTTACCAATACTGAAGTAGACAAAAAAATAAGTGCTTTCTTAAGAGTCAGATGCTAACTTCTTGTAATTATTTTCTAAGGAATATTTTTTTGATCCGGAAGTATTGACAGAAGGAGAACTAGCCCCTAATGATCGATGCTGCAGAATTTGTGGTAAAATTGGACATTTCATGAAAGACTGTCCTATGCGGAGGAAGTAAGAACTGTTTTTCTCTTATCAAAATCAGTGTTAGTACAAATGTTTTAACTAGCACAGTGCAAATATGATATTCTCAGTTTCTGACCAGTTAGAAGAATTTGTAAATTACATCAGTGCTAGAATGTGTATGTGAGTGCATTGCTGTAACAATTCCTAAGTATTTATACTATCCTGGATGTGTATTATATCAGTTTAAACAGTTTTTATATAAGATAATAAGACTTTATATAGACTTCCTTTCATAAATATCAGCTGATACAATTCAAGAACTTAGACACTCCCTTTGTACATAAATGAATCATGTTTCAATCAGCAAGGCATGACTTTGATTTGCAAATCATGAAATCTGAGCAGTGATGGCAAAACGAGGTAGAATTGTTAGGCAGTACCCTCTAATTTTCAGCCCCACTGGGTGGAGCGTCACATGCAGAACTTCGCTTGTGTGTGCACGTTACTTTGATTTTCCCCCCCCTTGCGCATGGGGTTCCATCATGACTGGAACCAAGGGGGCTGGAAATGAGGAGGAAAGCTGCACAGAGGGAAGCAGAGTGACGCACACCTTAGAGCAGTGGTCCCCAACCTTTTCTAAACCGTGGAGCAGTTTGGGGGGCTTTACACAGGAGGGCACCCCCACGTGGGTGGGCTGGGCACACTCGTGGGTGGGCGGGGTGTGCTTGCACACATGCGTGGATGGGGGTGCTTATGGGTGGGCAGGGCGCACATGCAGGGTATGTGCCCATGGGTGGGCGGAGAACATGCATGCACATGTGCAGATGGGCGGGGCACCTGTGCAGGTAGGGGGCAGGAGATCTGTCTCTGCAGTTTGGTCCTGCCAAGGCCACAGACCGAGGCCTTGGCAGAACCGAGTTGGGGACCTCTGCCTTAGGGGGTACCTTTTTTCAAGTCAGATAAACTGACACCCAAATTTTACCTAAGAGTCCTACAGAACTTAGTGGCCATTCAAGAAGAAAATCAGAAGCATATGTTCATTACAGTTGGCATTTATCCCAAAAGGATTAATTCCAGTGTGAACCAAAACAAAAATTGACATCCCTTATAACTTACTTTCTTCTTCTGGATATCTTTTAGGTTCCTTTACCATATGTAAGACTGACATACTGGGTTTCAAAAAAATACCTGGCTTTTATTTTCCAAACATACAAGAAAATGTGTGTGAATTATTACTTACAAAATTTATATTTCCATGCTCAAGTATGATATATCAGAAATAGAAACCTAGAAACTTAGTTAAGGTGGGATACTACAAGATTATTAAATTAATATCTCTCAGTTAAATTAGTCACAGTAACATCAATAAATTTGATAAATCAGAGCATAAGCAAAAAATGTTCTAGATTTACATAAATTCCTAACCCCCAGCAGAGTCTGTCCCCAGTACATGTACTCTCTCCTTTTTGCTAACACTCCTGGTTTGTTGTTTATACTCCTTTTTATCATTTCTTATCAACTTGCCATTTTTACGGTCCTAATAAATTACTTAAGCTCTGTACCTGCTTCCAATATATTCTTATAGATATTTCTATTAGCTAGGGTAGTAAATCACAATTCTTGTTAAGGCTGGCACATAGTCACTGAAGCAGATAATGGGCTTCGCTTTGATTAATCCGACCTTCTACCTGCAAGATACAGTATATGGAATACAGCCTCTGCAACTTAGTAAAGAAGTATGTTACTAATATGTATTCACCATATCAGTAAATATCATCTGGCTTTACAGATACATTACAGTATTTTAAATAATATGAGCTGAAAGTTTGATTCTCTACTGTGCCTCCTTGACAGGGGTTGGACTTGATAATCCATAGGGTTCCTTCCAGCTCTGTAGTTCTAAAATGAGCTAGATGTTATTTTACAAATACCACATCATATCTTATGAAACTCTTGAAATTTTGAATCAGTAATTACAAGTTGAAAAGAGTAGCTTCAACTACAAAGAATCATCTCTAAAATATACTTTGCCCGCTGTTCCAATATACAATCCTTACGCTGGATATGTGATATTTTGTACATCTCAAGGTTCTGTTGGTGCTTTTACACGTTTTGGTAACTAAAATTACACTCAATTTTCCTTTCTGATGGCTTGTGTTCTTAGACTGAGAAGACGGCATGATAGTGAAGACCCTAAAAACCAAAGATACACAGAAAGCAAAGAAAAAAGAAGTAAAGAGGAAAAAGAGGCCCCAGCTAAATTTACAGAAAGAGAGGTTTTGCTAAAGGATGGGAAATTACAGATATGCACACCCAACAAAAATAAATTGGGATGGGGAACAATGGAAACTGGAAAAGAGAAGTCTCCCAAGCAGCCATCAGAGAAATGGAAGCGACAGGAAGACAGAGATTTAAGAGAAAAGCGTTGTTTTATTTGCGGAAGAGAAGGACACATTAAAAAAGAATGTCCACAGCATAAAGGCTCTACAGGTATAAAAGGTGGGTATAGTTTAACACTGGAAGTATACACATGGCTAAAAGTGTTTGATGATGTTAGCTGTTTTTCTGAATTGTGGAACTGAATCCAAAGTTGTGTGGATCAGAATAGGACATTAATGAACTAAACTTTTTTGCAGGTGGAAAAGTGGTTTGATTTTGTTCTGATTACTCTTCCACCTTGCAGTTTACTTGTGTACCTAAGTATTTGCTTTGAATGTTTGGACTTCCCTCAAGAATGATATGGATGAGGTTCTGCTATGCTCAGTTGTTTAGAACGTTCAGGTAGAAAGGCATAGTTTTTTTACAGTTCAATAATTACATTTTTATCTTTCTCAGGCGTTCTAAAGTCAGAAAGCCCATGTGGATCTCCTTTATCCAGTGCAGTTAAACACTCTGGTCGATTACACCAGGTAACTAGTATGCTAAACATTGATTACATTGATTTGTTTGTTAAGAAATAGGTTTTCTCTTCTAAATATAGACACAACTCTTGTAAGTTAAGTATATCCAATCAAACATTCACTGTTATTGTTATGTGCCATCAAGTCTCCTCTGATGTATGGCAACCCTATGTATGACTGATCTCAAAAATGTCCTGTCTTCAACAGCTCTGCTTAGCTCTTGTAAACTCAAGCCTGTGGGTTCTTTTAGAAAATATCTTATGTGCTTTTCCTCTTTTCCTGTTGCTTTGAACTTTTCCCAGCATTATTGTCTTTTCCAGAGAACCTTGTCTTCTTGTTGTGTGGTGGAAGTAGGAAAGCCTCTGATTCAACATTTTTTCCTCCAGAACTATTTTAGGCTTGATTTTATCTAGGACCCACTTGTTTGTCTTTCTGGAAGTCCAGGGTATCCACAAAGTCTTCCTCCAGCATTATATTTTATACAAATATTTCATTTTTTCCCTGTCAGCTTTTTTATTGTTCAGCTTTTATCTTATGTGCTTTTCCTCTTTTCCTGTTGCTTTGAACTTTTCCCAGCATTATTGTCTTTTCCAGAGAACCTTGTCTTCTTGTTGTGTGGTGGAAGTAGGAAAGCCTCTGATTCAACATTTTTTCCTCCAGAACTATTTTAGGCTTGATTTTATCTAGGACCCACTTGTTTGTCTTTCTGGAAGTCCAGGGTATCCACAAAGTCTTCCTCCAGCATTATATTTTAGACAAATACTTCATTTTTTCCCTGTCAGCTTTCTTTATTGTTCAGCTTTCATAGCCATATATGGTGATTAGAAATACAATAATGTGGATTATCTTGGTCTTGGTCTCCATTGACTAAGAAATCCCAAATGTAATGCTGCTTCTCTTGCATTGTGCTTTAGCTAACTTCAAATGTTTGCTTTGGTGTTTTTTTTAAGGGACTTCTTCCACAAGAAGAAAAAAAGAAGCAAAAAGGAAAAATATTCTTGAGTCCTCAGTCAGGTTTGTGTACTAGGCTTTTTTTTTAATGCAGTCTACAACCTTAAGAAGAAAGTGCACAGACATAAAACATACACAAACCAATCCATAAATGCTGCAAATATACTTAAGCTGTGGATTAGGTAAATTATTTCCCCTTGTCAGTTCCATTCCCCAGCAGCTTTCTATTTCTAGCTGCAGCCACAACCAAGCTGTTTCAGGAGGGAGCCCTGACCCTTAGAACAAGCTGTGGGGCCCAGGAATGCAAGAGTGTTCCGTTCTACCCATTTCTTTCCATGAGTAGTTTTTAAGTTCCAGATAGAAAGGACTGAACTAAGATTCCTACTTTGTTTTTAAATAATGCATGCATTTCTCTCTCCGAGCATCCTTTTAGAGACATTCCCTTCTATGTGGGAGAAAGTGTTCTCCCACTAGTGCTCTCCAACACTATGTGGGTGTTGGGATTTGCAGTGCCTGCGTTAATAAATAACAGGTTGTTTTGTGCCTTAGTGAGAAGCACTTTTATTTCTGTAAGATCTGGTACTAAATTTTTGTTGATACTTTCTATACATTTAAGCCCATCACATTCTCCTAAAGCTGTTCCCAAGGGCCAGGCGGTGCTCTGTTACAGACTGTAAAATGGCACAAAGAGCTGCAGGGTGGTGATGGTGGGGATGGAACTCAGGTGACCTCTCTTATACAGATCCTTTTTCCTAGGACAAAAACACCATGGGTTACTTCTTTTTAAAGTTTCAATCTAAGTATGAGAAGATGAATGTGTTACTAAAGATTTTTTTTGTTTTCTGATGAAAAGCCAGAAAGTAATATAGCAAGCAAAGAGCAGTCCCGAAGACAACCAAAATACATATTGTTACAATAGTACATAACTTCGATTATCTGCAAATTTACTGTGCATTGAAGTCGTGAGGGAGATGCTTTTCTCAATAGGACAAATGATTATGGCTTCAAGCAGGAGGATTTCTTATTTCTAGAAGGGGGATGCCAGACAGAACTCGTAGAATGTGGCATGCAATATTTTGTTCAAATATGTTCAAGCTTGAAGGGATTTTAAAATCAGACTCAGAAGCATCCCATTTCTCCTCAGCTGAGCAGAACAGATTTCATGTAAAAACATAACATTAAAGTTTATGCATGTCCAAACCAGTTTGCCCTAGACGATCCAGTAGTTCAAAGGATGGCTATAAAATGCTGTAATTGATTCTCCCCATATACTATAACTAGTACACAACTAATTATCTGTTGTACATTCTTTTATTTGTATTTTGTATGTTTTAGCCATATAATGTGTTTTACAAGCTGGTCGCTTGACCATAATAAATAAATACAATACAATACATGAAAGCTCATGCATGTTTGTTCCTTTGTGATTACATCTTAATTTGTGGCTTTTTCTCTCCCTGCCCCCTCCCACACAGGTAGCCTTTCCAGTAAATATATGACTCAGGGAAAAGCTTCACAGAAGAAGCCCTATCAAGATTCATGAGAGACTGAAGCAATCTTTTAAGATGCAATACTGACCGTCCATTTCCTTAAGAAATTTTTATTTTCTTTATAGCCTCTGGGTTCACAAAACAGCAGCACAAACAATCTTCAACATGAAGTTAAAATCACATTTTATTTTAATTAAATTGCTAAAGATGAGAAAGCAATGGGTTTTAATGTTTCTTTGTACCATGAATCCCTGATCTTAATTGATTGAGCATTTTAACAGATAACCATACTGTTTGTATTTACTAGGTAATACACATAGATGGGGGAAGTATCTAACACAAACCACTTCTTCCTATGTTCAGTCTGAATGTTTGAGTGCACTTCCATGGTGTGCAAGCCAAATATAATGACACCTTCAAAATACTATTTTTCAAGGATAAAGGGGTATTTATTCATGATGAACACTTCCTGATTTCTTGTGTTAAAAGTGCTTGAAAATGTTTCTGGACTGCTACTGCTGTATTTGCAAATATTTTAATCTGTGGGGAACTAAGACATGAACATTAAGTAAACTTTTATGTAAACTCTGTGGAAAAACAGTGCCATCGAGTTCTTCCTGTTATTTTATGATAAATTGAAAGGCTGCTGTGCTCGTGTAGAGACTGAGAAGCCAGTTCTGTTTGCTGCTGCTATGATTCTTTCCCATTGTCTGCAACATAGGAACAAATTTCCTCTAAGGAAACAAAGGGTATATTTGGCAGTTAAAAGAAGATGAATGCACATCTGCTTTTTTGAAAAGTAAAGAAAATAATCTGTGTGCTGATTAAGGATTTACTTTTGTACTTTCATCAAGGCTTAATGTCAGGATTTCTGCAGATGGTACAGTATACCCTTTCTACGAAATGTATACAGCAAAAAAAAAGCCACTGTTATTTATGACCTTGAAATAAAATACCCAAGTGAAAACTTTTAATTTCTACACTTTTTTGTTATATGAAATATCTTATGAAACTAGAATTACAAAATTTTGTAAAATTACTGTATCTTTTTAACATGTAACAGTATTCCAGCTGAATGTGTCTTTAGAATTTTCATTTCATTTTGTTTCCATAGAAAAATATATAGCTCATGTATAGAAATACAGATCTAATCAAATGTTTATAATCAGAGTGGTTTTCATTTAAATCAAATTTAAATCATGATTTTAAATCATTTCTCAATGAGACTTGATGTAATTATGTGGATTTCTTTTCACATGAAAAGTGTCCTCTTGCTTCCTATAACATTTGTTTTTTTTCATTATGCATATCTTTGAGACTAGGCAAAAGTCAGAACAAAAAAAGGTGGAACACACAATCAAAATCTGTGCTTCTGTATGTGCAGTGTGGTTCCTGAGGACCTTTTGTGGTTTGATGCATTCATTGCTTCCATGGAGTCTTGTGTATTTATTTATTTATTTATTTATTCATTCCGCACCTATCTAGTCAGCACAACCACTCTAGATGGCTTACAACACAAAATATAAACCAGATATATAAATAAAATAGTTTACACAATTAGAAAAAATTGCTACAAGATGGAAGGAAAGACAAAATAAATCATAGCAGAAAAGGAGGGGAAGAAAATTAGGAATTAACTGGGGGGGGAGGTCTGCCTAAATATCCATGTTTTCAGTTGATTCTTAAAAATATCCAGCGAGGGAGCCGCACGAATCTCAGGAGTCCTGTTCAGGGTCTTTTTGCAAGATACGGACATTTCGCTTGGAATGAGTATTAGACTTTGGCTCCTAGGGGTATTTTATGGCTTCTTGTATCTCTGCCCTGTGAATAGAGATGGCCTACTCGGAAATAGCTATTCCACCAGGGCATTTTCTGCTATATGGAAATCTGGCCCATAATGAACAGTGTAATGTGATTGCTATGGATGTTTTGCACACTGAGGCATCAATCCAGTCATCACATGGTTGGATTGTTGTAGTAATTTAGTCATTAAGTCGTGTCTGACTCTTCGTGACCCCATGGACCAGAGCACACCAGGTCCTCCTGTCGTCCACTGTCTCCTGGAGTTTGATCAAATTCATGCTAGTAGCTTTGGTGACGGTGTTAAACCATCTAGTTCTCTGAAATCTCCTTCTCCTCTTGCATTCACACTTTCCCAACATCAGGGTCTTTTCCAGAGAGTCGAGTCTTCTCATGAGATGCCCAAAGTATTGGAGCCTCAGCTTTAGGATCTGTCCTTCCAGTGAGCATTCAGGGTTGGTTTCCTTCAAAATGGATAGGTTCTTTTTGCAGTCCAGGGGACTCCCAAGAGTCTCCTTGAGCACCACAATTCAAAAGCATCAATTCTTCGGCGATCTGCCTTCTTTATGGTCCAGCTCACACTTCCCTACATCACTACAGGAAAAACCATAGCTTTGACTATGCGGACCTTTGTCGGCAAGGTGATGTCTCTGCTTTTTAAGATCCTGTCTAGGTTTGTCATCGCTGTCCTCTCAAGAAGCAGGCGTCTTCTAATTTCGTGGCTCCTGCCACCATCTGCAGTGATCATGGAGCTCAAGAAAGTGAAATCTGTCACTGCCTCCATATCTTCCCCTTCGATTTGCCAGGAGGTGATGGGATCAGTCGCCATGATCTTAGAGCAAGTCCTCACTTTCTGCCATCAGAGTGGTATCATCTGCATATCTGAGGTTGTTGATATTTCTTCCAGCAATCTTAATTCCGGATTGGGATTCATCCAGTTCTGCCTTTCACATGATGTATTCTGCATAGAAGTTAAATAAGCAGGGAGACAATATACAGCTTTGTTGTACTCCTTTCCCAATTTTGAACCAATCAGTTGTTCTATATCCAGTTCCAACTGTTGCTTCCTGTCCTACATATAGATTTCTCAGGAGATAGATAAGGTGGTCAGGCACTCCCATTTCTTTAAGAACTTGCCATAGTTTGCTGTGATCCACACAGTCAAAGGCTTTTGCGTAGTCACGTATTTAGTCTTTCTCTTTTTTTGCAGCCTTCACCTTTTCCTGGCACTATTGTCTTTTCCAAAAGTCTTCCTTTTTCATGATGCGCCCAAAGTATGACAGCCTCAGTTTTGTTATTTTTGCTTCCAGAGAAAGTTCAGGCTGGATTTGCTCTGGAGCCCAATACATATTGTCATGGATCCTGGGACTCAAGCTCTTTCCTTTAGCCACTCTTTTTATGCTACCTTCCCCTTGCTCTGGGTGGGAGTGCCCAAATGGAGCAGGAGGAATGAGTGCTATGAGCTCTGACTGGGATCCTGTCAACCCCACCATGTTTTGCACCTGCATGGACTGCATGCCCCAAGACTTAACAACTACAATAGGCTGCCACCAGCTCCCGTTGACATCAATATTGCCAATTCTGTACCTTAACTGAGGCCAGGACTGGAGAAATTAGTACATGTTCCCTCTTTAGACAATGGCTTGAAAGAATTTGTGAAGTTTATTTTAAAAGAAAAGGAAAACTAAGAAAATAAAAGGATATTTCAAAACATAGGAAGACAGTTCTAGATCCAAAAGAATTGTGGGTACACAATTACATAATATGAAAGAGCCAGACTAGAAAATAAGAAAATCTAATGCTACCCTGTCTTACTTTACCTAAGCAGAGAGAAGGGTGGTTCTGGAATAGCATCTCCACCCAACTACTGCATAGATTTCTGCAGCATAGCAGGGCTTCTAGTGGCGTTTTTTCTTTTTTTACATTTACAGTCAATGTCAATATTGTGCAGATATACAGACATGATGTTGCAATCAGCTCATCTATTCAAAAGTCATTTCTTTAAAATATATTTGTAATAAGGAAATACAAGTTTAAATGCTAAATTATAGACTTTTGAGCTGGTTATTTTTTAAAAAAAAATTAAAGGGATTTTTAAAGCACTTATCTCCCCCCCCCTTAACACATTTTAGGGAGGAACAGGGAGTAGGAAACAGGATTTTTTTTTGTTAAAGGCTGCACCCCTCACATTCTACTGATTTCCTTCTTTACACGTGCTTTGCATTCCTCACAAACATCACATAGGTAGTAAAATAAGTATGAATTTAAGTGTATGTACTTTGTCAACAGATATTTTTACATTTTCACTTTTGAAAGGTAAACTCCTAACAATTAGTCAGAATTGGGATAATTTTGCCCCCTTCCTCCAATGATTGTCTTTTCTACCAATATTGGGTTTCTTGCAAGCCTTCTGGTATCTTCCTCTAGTGCAGGGGTCTCAAATATGCGGCCCGGGGGCCATTTGCGGCCCCCCAGATGATAGTTTGTGGCCCTCGCCTTGCCTGCCCCCCC